TAAGTCATGTGACAAAGCCAAAGGACCAGGAGGTGCGGGAAGTTCTGATTGATTACAATTTACAAAATGTATTTCATATTGTATGTTTCTCTTAATTGTCAAATGTAGTTCCTATTTCATTTCAAATAAATGCACTTGAAGTTTGTTTTTAATACTTGTATAAAACTATAAAGTATAAATTATAAAAAAAATGGATTTAACCAGCCCGACCCGGCGGGTGGCTAGACCCGTGACCCGGGCGGGTGGCCCGGCCCGAACCGGACTCGTCCAGACCTCGAGCCGATCCCGGGTCCATAAGTTACAAACCGGCGGACTGGCCGGTCCTAGGCCCGGCCCGAGTCCATGTCTAGTGTACATAAGCAGTGTACAATTTGTGTACAAATTTTGTGCAGACAAAAAAATGATTCATTTTGGATTTCTATTCAAGTTCAACGTATAGATAAATGCCATTGAGGTTATCTATTTATATACTCCGTATAAGAAAATACATAGCTCCTTAAATGACAATTTTAACCTTAATGAATCTTAGGTGTCACTTTCTCCTTAATTCATTCACTTTTTATTAGAATGACATGTGGCCAATTTATTTCGAGTGCGTATACCGTGCAACGGGTGCATGGTGAGCACCATGCACCCATTGGATATTATTTTCTTTTTTTTTAAATGGTAATAACTTTTTTATTTTTGATCTGATTTTTATAAAATTTATATCATCATTTTTTATTTTTCATGATCTTTCAAATGAGACCAATATTGCCTATGTAATTTTAACACGTTAACATTTACGTGTAAAATATGTAATTTTACGTGTTAAAATATGTAACTCACGTTCAGTCAGGCCAAATGCAACTCGTGTGTATAAATATGTATCTCTACGTGTAACAATATGTAACTTTACGTAAAAAAATATGTAACTCGCGTTCAGACAGGTCAAATGTAACTCGTGTGTATAAATATGTAACTCGCGTGTATAAATATGTAACTTTATGTGTAAATATATGTAAGTCGCGTTCAAGCATGTCAAATGCAACTCGTGTGTATATATATGTAACTCGCTTATAATAAAATGTAACTTGCTTATAAAAAGATATAACTCGCTTATAAAAAGATATAACTTGCTTATAAAAAGATGTAACTCACTCAAAAAGATGTAACTCAATGTATTATCAAATGTAACTGATGCCACTGATCCACTCCCAAACAGATTCGATCTTCTATTTCACAAACCTATCATCTCCCAAACAGATTCGATTTTCCTTATAATACAATACTCATTAATATAATAGTTCGATAATTTCTTAAAATTACATAAGCAATATTGGTCTCATTTGAAAGATCATGAAAAATAAAAAATATTGATATAAATTTTATAAAAATCAGATCAAAAATAAAAAAGTTATTATCATTTTTTAACAACAAAAGCAAAAAAAACAATTAAAATTATATGCTGCGTGCGTTGCACCATATAATTTTCCATTTATTTCATTTCATCATTCAAATATATCGAAGAACACCCAAAGGAGTGTAGGGATATATAATTGGTGGGGCCAAGCAATAAAATACCCCTATTTTATTTAAATGGTTATAACTTTTTTATTTTTGCTCCAATTTTTATAAAAAATACATCAAAATTCATAATTTTTTGTGATCTTTCATATGAGACCAATATTGAATATACAAAAATTTAAATTATTAAACAGCCTCTATAAATATTTTTAAAGTTATCTATATTTATATATTTTTAAAGTTATCTATATTTATATATATACGAAAGGATTACACAATTAAAATTATCTATATTTATATATACCAAAGGAGTACACTATAAAAAATATTTGGTATCTATTTATATATAAGAAAACACATAGCTCCTTAAATGACAATTTTAACCTTAATGAATCTTAGGTGTCACTTTCTCCTTAATTCATTCCCTTTTTATTAGAGGTAGATTCTATGGTACTCATAAGGTATCATACCTTTGTCCACATGGACCAATGAGAATGTAGCAGTTGAATTATTTAAATCTAAATTAAAAATGATAAAATGGTGTGGTCCTATCAAATGAATGGTAGGTACGATACCCCATTTTTTAGAAAGGTACCAGAGTTGTCACCTTTATTAGAATGACACGTGGCCAATTTATTTCATTTCATCATTCAAATGTACGGAAGAACACCCAAGGGAGTGTAGGGATATATAATTGCTGGGGGCGAAGCAATTAGAAGATAAACTTGCTAAAAATTGAGAGGAAAAATTATCACATAAGTAGTTCTTTTTAAGTATAAGATAAACCGGTTAACAAATAAGCAATAGAGTTTTGTCACTCATACGTAGTGCTTTTAGATATAAGTTAATCCGGCTAACAATTGAGTGAAAAAATTCTCTCTTATGTAGCTCTTTTTTGTATAAGACTAGCTAACAATTGAGCCAGAATCTTCTCTCTCCCATATGTAGTACTTTCATATACAACATAAGCCGGTTAACAATTGAACAGGAGAATTTTCTCTGTCATATTTAGTGTTTTTTAAACATAACAAGATAAGTTTCCTAATAATTGAGTTGAAAATTTTTTTCTCTCTCATATGTAGCCTTTTACATATTAGAACATAAACTTGCTAACAATTTAGCAGGGAAATTATCATATAAGTAGTTCTTTTAAGTATAAGATAAGCCTACTAACAATTACTCCCTCCAGCCCAAATTGTTTTGCAAAGTCAATTTTTTTGGTCAACCAACAATAAAAGTCAATCTTCACTATTGATATTTAATTCCATTTTTAGTAATTAAAATTTACATATTCAGAAACTAAATTAAAATCTCTTTAAAGTTGTATACTCTAAATTAGAATATAATTTAAATTTGACATCCTAATTAAGCGAACAAAATGAAACTGTTTGACCAAGAAAAGTGAAATTTGCAAATCAATTCGGGACGGAGGTAGTAAACATTAGAGTTTTGTCTCTCATACGTAGCGCTTTTAGGTATAAGTGAACCCGGCTAACAATAGGGTGGAAAATTTTCTCACATATGTAGTTTTTTTTTTGTATAACATACGCCGAGTAACTATAAGTAGTTCTTTTAACTATAAGATAAACTGGCTAACAATTAAGCAGTAGAGTTTTGTCTCTCATACGTAGTACTTTTAGATACAAGTAAATCCGACTAACAATTGAGTGAAAAAATTCTCTCATTGAACATGATAATTTCCTTACTCATATGCTAACACTAATTTAACTAATAAGTAGCAAGTTATTACTACCTCCATCCCGAATTGAAGTGCAAAAGTTGACCGGCACACGGATTAAGAAAGAATAGAAATTGATAGTTGCTTTCCCATTTTGCCCTTCTACATACAATTGAGAGAGCAAAACAAAAAATTAGAAAATTACACTTTATAGAGCAAACGTGCACTGCGACCTTCTAAATGGAAGAAATAAAAAAGTGAAAAAAAGTGAGGGCGGCGGCGACTCATCTCTGAGGGTGCAACAGTAATACGCTTATGCTAATCGCTAGAGCCAGCAGTGCTTCGACCCACGACCCAAGTATTTGCTTTAATGAGGGCGGGCCCTGGGCAATGGCGGCTCATCTCCGAGGGTGTCCGAGGGCGCCGACGACTCATCTCTGAGGGTGTCCGAGGGTGGTGCCACGCCGGCGGCGACTCATCCGGTTAAATTAGACCCGATTCAACGACCGGCGTCCTCCACTTATGCAAGAGTTTTGTGAGAGTGGCGGTGACTCGTCTGAAGGTCTGTTCGAGGGCGGCGTTGAATCACCCAGATCTAGGAATATTTAGGTGGTGAAACTAGGGAGCCGGAGCCAGAACTGTTTGACTGAGAAAGGGAGGGTGGAGCTGAAGTTGTTTGCCTGCTTGGTGCCTTCTTCTCCTAACCAAGAGGAGCTAATCGACGAAGTCAGATTCCATTCATTCCTTGGAATGGGAAGGTGAGGAGAGAAGGTGGGTGAAAGTGAGTGTGTAAGTAATGGCCAGAAATGTGGGTAAGAGAAAATGATAAATAACAGCTCATTAGTTGGAGGTGGGTGAGCGAAAGATAAGAAGGGCAAATTTGTAACTTTAATGATGTTTGTATACCTAAAATGGAAAGTAGAAAATCATTTTAGGACAGCCAAAAAAGGAAATTTTGCAAAAAAAAATTGGGACGGAGGGAGTATTTAACTAATACGTACTATTCATTAATTTCAATCATTATTGTATTCACTTTTTACAATATTATTAAATTTGAAAATTAATTTAATCAAAAAAATTAATAAGTACAAGTTCTAATGAGCGGTGTTAATTAATTTTTCCTAGATACTCTTTATTGAATATTTAGTGTATGAGCTTATACTTTATGATATTAGCTTATTGTATTCTTATTTTCGAAAATGTAGAATCCTACAAAGTTATTTTTATTTTAATATTTAATTATATAATAAGTAAAAATATATGCACCTATTGCTTTTTCTCGTGCGAATGCACGAGTACTATACTAGTTAATGTTAACATGGCTCATGCATATGTCATTATGGAACTATAGATGCTACTCTTGTCCCTATTTAATCTTCTGTTCAATATTATTGTAGTCAACTTAAAAAATTAATAATAATAATAATAATAATAATAATAATCCACAAAAGTCAAACACCTTATAATTCAATGACAATACTGTGACATTCTTAAGAAAGAGGTCACAAGTTCGAAACTCACAATTAAGGACATAGAAAACACCAGATTTGGAGGTTCAGTACTAGAACAAATTTGGACTGACTTACATTTTACAGTATGGGTTCCAGTCCGGTGTATGAGCAAAAAATGACATCCCCGGTCCGGTTCCATGCACCCCACTCTCAACAAACAAGCACCTATTTCCCCATCAACAAAATAATTTCATAAAACACCATAGAAGATTTAGGGCCATATCACATGTCAAATTTAATCATACCAAGCTTTTACGAACTCTAACCGAAGCTGTTTCGAATACACAAAACAATCAGTTGAGGAACGTTAATCTAACAAGATTTCAGTGGTTCAAACTATGTTGTTTAGGTAAGAAACACTAAAACAAGTCCCGTTTATACAGAGTATTCACTTAACTAATCAAAAGATCATGGAATAACACTAATCGGGCCCAAACACAAGTTGTACGTCGAACATCATGTCCATTTACAGCCTTGGCAGTAAATACCTTTGCTATTGGTGGAGCCAATGTTAGCAATAAATTTGTACAACATATATCAAGCCATGACCAAGTGACCTAAACAGGATGACCCCTACACAAACCATGAGAATAAGTCCATAATAATTCAAGGACGTTAAGGACATTACCCCCACCACAGTACTCAGAAGAAACTTGAATGAAAAATATCAATTGTGAAAATCATGAAAGCTGCAGAAGTGGCAATGCCATCACAGCACCAAAAACAGATACTAGCAGTATCAACACCCAAGCTGGGAAAGGAGGTTTCCTTCTGTTTCTAATTACTTGTTGAGGCTCTACTTCATTCAAATCTCCCCTGTTCAAATCATCCAAAGCCCGGGAATTTTCTTGCTGTGTGGGCGGTAGATGTGGTGAATCTGAGATAGACTGTGTTTGAAGTTGTTGTTGATGCTTCTCCACATATTCTGGAAATAACTTCCTAAAAGTGACGCTGTGAAAACAAGGGAAGAAAAGGAAAAACAATTAATCAGCCAAAGTGATGAATAAACTATAATGTGAGAAAGGGATAAGAACTTATCATACACACATGCTAAGTATGAAGCAAAATGGAACGAGGCTCACTTTTTACAATTGAAAGCGAGAGAAGCCTTTGCAAGTTTTACTTTCTCAGAAGCAGTTGTTGTCACACCTCCCGTCGTTGGACTATTATCCATCTGAAGAGGGGAGCATAAATCAAATGAAGAAATACGGCTTAAGAGATAGAAGCCTAGAAGGAGAAGGTACTTGCTATTTGCCTAATTACGCAATGGCATATTTGTCAATTGCCATCGACCAAATTTTATCTAGTTTTACCTCACATTCATCCCCCCCCCCAAAAAAAAACCACTTTCAAGGCTTTCCACTATATTACTAACCAGAATAGGGTCAACAGTTCCAATTCTCTCTCTTAACCCCCATCATGGCCTCATGGGTAGATAAAATAATGAATAGTTTGATTACAAACGAAATAATATGAACAATTAGCCCCACACCCCAAGATATTCTTATCCGTTATCATTTTATAATGTTTTTTAGGCATTGGAATTGTGTTGTTAAGATTTAATTATGAGAAAAACAAAATAGATGAAGCACTTGTTTCCTTCAATTGAAATGAGAGGCCTTTTTTGGACGACCCACAAACAGTGAAAAGAAACTTTGGGAGAGTAGAAATTACAGTGATTTCAAGAGATGGTAACACCATTGTATTGTGTGTGTGTCAACCGAAGTAATTGTTTACAACTTTTTATGTTTAAAGCCAATGTAAGATTAGTTAGGTCTTTCTCCCATCTCTCTATCCTTGTTAGATAATACTTTCAGTTTCTTTGTAATCAAATTTCTGTCACCAATAAATGTGCTTTAATAGGGTGATGTATATGAAAATCACAGTAGTTCTTTGGACTTCAATCTGGGTAAAAAAGTGAACTTACCATAAATGAGAGCAATCCGGTGAGAATACTGCATAGACAATAAACAAAAATCATCATAAAAGAAAAATTCACCCTGAAATAGAAGCTGCAAAGGATGGAGACCAAATATTATCTCAAATGTTGCCTCATATTTACCTTGAGACCGACCACATAGGGTTCCAATTCTCTGGATGGACTGAAAAGCATCACAGCCATACAAAATGAGCATTACATAGATATAAGAATAATAACAATCAACAATTCAATCAGAAATAACTTCAAAGCTGCTTACAATCACTCATAGATAGGCATATTTTTGTTTCTGTCATAAATCGGCCATTAGGAGTAGTCATCCTACAACAAGAAAAAGAAAACCTTATGTTAATCTCATAAAGTTTGAAAAACATAAATCCAGTACCAAAACGATATTTTTGACGAACTTGTAGTGACCAGAGCTCTCTCTGATTACCTGATCCCTGGAGGTTTATATGGATATTCAGGAGGAAACTTGATCTTGCCATAATAATACCCGCCTATCAGTAACAAATGTTTCATGCAAACATCTCAGAAAGGTTGCTCATAAGTTAGGAAAATATATTAGGCACAAAGTTTTTAAAGAGATTTAAGAATAGAAAATATTATTTATTCACCCAACAAATAACAAACCCCACGAACCTGCAAACGGTGTTCCTTCACTCCCTTCTAACACATAATCTGTAAGCAGGCAATATTTAATAGGAAAATCACATAAAACATAGCATCATTAGTTTATTGACAAAAAAGCCTATAAAAGTTTTCCAATGAAATTAATGTCCCACAAGATACTAATGCTTGAAATCTAAACGTTGAATTAAATAAAAATAAGAAGATCCAGTAACTTACGCCACTCCAGAATGTTATTTGGAGAAGGACGGGCAACAATATTTGAAACAGGTTCCTGCAAAAAAAAACACCCCACCAAAACTATCAAGCCAGTTTTAAATGGAAAGTTAAAAATTGATGATTACCATTTCAAGAAATGGAAAGCCGTAACATGTAAAGTACTCACTCCTTCCCTATGTATCTTACCCCATTTGACATTGCACATAGTTTAAGGAAATGACAATGTGAGGTTGATACGCGTATTTGTTTAAAAATAAAAAATCTATATCAACCACACAAGTGTGCTCCTTGTATGAAAATAAGAAGAGTTCCAAAAAGGAAAAAAGGGTAAATTAAGACGGACGAAGGTAGGATATACACACATAGAAGGCACCCTATGTAAATTGCACATATGCCTGAAGACTGATATCATTTCAAATCCAATTATATGATACTAAGATAGTAAGATCATAACTGATTGTATCAACTGGCTGTACATAATGATCTTGCAGAAATCGTTAGGCATTCCTAGACCGACTACTAGGGGACCACCGTCTAGTGCATAGCGGTCTAGTTGGCATCCACTTGCCCAATTCATTGCCTACCTGATCTCCTTAGACAGCCTAAATGAGTGGATGCCTAGGGCAATTTCTACAAGATTGCAGCAGAAGATAAACGAAATGTGCTCAGGTCCATTTTTACAACAATGATATTAGCAGTAATGTAACGTGACTATATCACAGAAATGAAAATACTTGAATTGCACTTTAATGCTAAGCAATTCTATCTCCAATATAAGTATATAACCACTACAATTGGTATCCCCTCACTCAGTAGTCACAGCTATATACGTAGTACTTGGGAAGTTAAGGATGTCTTCTTACTTTACACAGTGCTCTATATTCCTTCTGCAAGCGCTTTACACAAGCCTTTTCGGCCATTTCTGCTTAAAATGAGGTAAACTAAACTAAGGAGAATCTTCTGTTGCTAGTAGCTTCTTTTACTCTCTAGACTGCTAAAGTGATAACACCTGCACATGCGGAATAAACATGGACAATTAAGATTTGAAACAAGAATATCATCATAGCGAAAAGCTGAATAGATGGCAGAACCAAAGCTGAATTTATGGCATAAATAGATGTAGAATCTAAGTAAATATGGACCCCATTCACATAGCTTCACAATATGAATCAAGGTGAAGATGCCTGCCGCAAGCCAACTAGCAAAACGAAAATATAGCCATTATTGTTGAAAAACGTCTCCTCATCTCAGGGTCTAGAGTCCATATTCTCACAGTAAAACGAGATCAACTTTTGGATCCCATTATATGGTTAAGAGAAAAGGGGCAAACAAACCCTTAAACTATTAGTGATTCTGCAGTAGGCCTCCGAACTAAAAGACCTTACAAAGACACCACTTAGCCCATTACAATAAAGCAATTGAACTCTTTGTTACCTGCTGGTGCCGGTAAGGCAGTAACATTCTTGTGAGAAGTTACCCGCACCAGCAGCTATAGCCGCTAGATTGCTTTATTTCAATTTGTATTTGTTTTTTATACGGCCTTCCGGTTCAATGGTCTGATTGAAGAATAAAGCTAATAGTTTGAGGGCTTACTTGCACCTTTTTGTCTATTGCTAAAGGTCTCGAAAGTCCGAGATGTGTAGCATACTAGCATTTCTGTTATTGAATGCTTCAATTTGGTGAAACTATGAACCCATCACCAGTCAAGTGGAGAAGATTTGCATAAAGAATATACTATATAATTTCCAACACATCATTATAGATGAAGGGAAAACATAAATTTTACTATGGGTAGGGCTGATTGTTGATTAATTGGATGGAAAAACATGATGTGCACTATAATTTTGGTGGTTCATAGCTCAAGAAAGAAGAAACCACACGTTCACATTTTGACTGGAAAACCTAGGTGTTCTTGGCGATGCTACCAATTGAGAAAAACAGTGCTGAATCACGAGTTTACTCGTAGGATCCAACGCTTATACCATCTGAATATAAGCCTGCGATCTTGTTCCCACTAAAAATCGTAAAAGAGTAGGGATCGGATGAATCGCCGACTAAATTATTAAAAGCTTAGACGTAGACAGGATCGGCGACTCGTTAGCGATGTTGAGGAAAAAATTAAAAAATTCCCGACTATACAAATCGGAAACTTGAAAGAGGTGTGTCGCTTCATAGTTGGTGCAAATTTATCTATAAATGAGAAGTATTCAGCAATGATTCAAGCATCACCTTCGAATCCCCTGCTCTGTAACTACTTTCTTCTCTGCAACTCAATTATTTCCGGCGACAAGTGTAAGGCAGCCTCCATACTCATGTCCGACTCGTCAGGCGACCTCCATCCGTGGGTCGAAGTTCAAGGTCGATTCCTATCTCGTATCTCGTGCACTCCGTTTTTTATGAGCTTGTTTAAAATCAACAAAACAATGTACTTCATTGTAATGAATCATTAGATACAAAACCTACAATTTTAAGTCTAAATTGACCAAAACTGAAAACTACCTATCAAAAATATCCCAAATATGCAAATGATAATTATACATACTTGATGGATTATATGGCCCAGGGACCCCCGGCCCACATACTTCCTCTACTACAATCAGGTCCAACAGGCCCAAGCGGGCCAAGCCCAGCAAAATGGAGCTCTAAGCAGCCCACAATACGCAAAGGGGTGCCTTCGTCCCCATGGCCGAAGGCTACCAGTGACGGAATCGAGCTCAGAAACATCATAGGAGAACAAGGCTTGAAAACCAAGCCTTCGGCACCTGCAGCCCTCGGCAGGTAGGAGCCCTCGGTTAGAAGAGGCATCACAGAAGAACAAGGCTTGAAAACCAAGCCTTCGGCACCTGCAGCCCTCGGCAGGTAGGAGCCCTCGGTTAGAAGAGCCTTCGGCCCAGCACCATTCAGCCGAAGGCATCCACCTCGACAGAATATCCTCTTCGCATGCGCCTGGATCACCGTACCAAGTACAAACGTCACATCCAACCACCGCATTTAATGCGGTCACATGCGAGTGCCAGTGCCACCCCGGTCGAGGTGACCCCTCGACCACCAGAAAACTGACACGTGTCCTTATCTAGCATTTGTTACTACTATAAATAGCACTCCATTTCCCCATTTGTAACCCAGAAGCAAAATACGCTTAATACATATCGAATATACACTCTCTCTCTTACTTATTTGCTCTGACTTCTCTCTAGTTATTCTCCGCAATAACCCCTCGGATAAGCTACCCCCGGGTACACTATCCATCATTTGGTGCTCTCGTTGAGAGCTCGAACAATCAAGTAAGAAACCCTCCCCCTCGACCAAACACAAAAACACCCATCTAAAATGGTGAGAACAACTCGTGTCAACTCCAAGAATGTAGAGGACAGGAACCTGGCCCTCGGTGAGGTCGACGTCCCCGAAGCCTCCAACAGGGCTCCCGGGGGCGGCGTCATCGCCGGGTTGGACCAGACGGTTGTCGACCTACGCCAGCAGATTCAGCAAAATGCCCCCGATGCCCGCCTCGGCATCGAGGCCAAGAAGAAGGACCGGAGCGAAAATCAAATTAGCCCCCCGATCATCACCATAGACGTACAATCGGCGCTCTCCGCCTTCATCCAGACGCTCACCCAGAACCCGGGTGCCTTCGGCACTTTGGTTCCCCTCCAACCTCAGGTGGGGGAGAATATTATGCCTCCCCCTCATCCACGACCCCTCGGTAACCCGGTCCTCCAGATGGGGAACTCCGAGGGGGTCGTGGCCCAAGACACGGCCTCCCAAGAAGTCCAGTCCCGGGACCGCCACAACGTGAACAAGGAACAGCTCCGGACCTCCGCCCTCGAGAGACTCGGAGGGGCGCAAGACCGTCGAGGGGTCCAAGACCGCCTCGGGGGGAAGGCGTTCCAAAGGCCTCAGGAAAGTGGCGGGTCCATCTCCAGGGCCAATAAAAGGTGTCCCCCTCAGGACAAAGGCAAGGCACCTCTCCATGCCGACGACGCACGCCATCAAATCAATCAAGCTCACTCGGCCCGGGTCCATTCGCAGGGGGCGAAGGCCCTTTCGAAGGACCCCCGGGACGAAATCATCACGGCCCTCCAGCGCCGGCTTGACGAGATGGAGGCCACTAAAGCCCACGCCACCACTTCTGCCCCTCATACAGACCTCAAGTATGAGGCAATGTTGGCCAAAATGGAGGAGATGCAAAGGAAATTTGCCGAAGGCTCCGGGGAACCCGTCATCCAACTCCGAACTAGGACGCCATTTACCCCAAGGGTATTGGCGGCCCAAATCCCGGAAAAGTACCGAGGGCAACTCATCAAGCCCTATGAAGGAAAAACTGACCCCCAAGAGCACTACAACAGGTATCAAAACAACATGATGATGATGGGGGCATCAAATGAATACTTATGTCGTTGGTTCCTTTCCACCTTGGAGGGACCAGCATACGAATGGTTCAACCGATTGCCTGAGGGCAGCATTGACTCTTGGCGAGATCTTGCCCAACGCTTCCTCACCCATTTTGCCGGAAGGAAGCGCGCGAGAAAGCACTTCTCCCACCTCCTCTCCATCAAGCAACAGCCTGACGAAACACTTCGGTCCTTCATTGATCGGTGGATGAAGGAGACAGACGAGGTCGAGGGCGCCGACGAGCGTACCCTCCTCGTCCTCTTCCAGGGGGTTCTCCGCAGCAGCCCCTACGCACGGAGCCTCATCACCGACCCCCCAAGATCATACCTCAGAGCACTCCAGCGGGGGGGCCTATACGCCGACGCCGACGACTTCCACTCCTTCAAGAAGAACGAGGGCCAGCCCTCGAAGAAGACATACAACACGCCGGCCCCAAATGCGCCCTCGGCCGGAGGCCGGGACCATGGAAGCCACACCCAGCAGGGCCGTAACGAACGCCAATGGCGCCCTCGGCTGGACATGCCGAGGACTCCCCTCAACTATGCGGAAGAGCAGGACCTTTTCCCCAAGGACCCTCGGTCGGTGAGGGAGATCTACGCCATCCACCAAGGCGGCACTTATTGCCGTTACCACAAAAGCACCTCCCACAATACAGACGATTGTGTCTCGTTAAAGAAGGCTATTGAACTCTTAATTCAACGGGGTGAGCTCCACCAATTCATCAAAAATGCCCCAAGGAAAAACACCAGGGAGAACACCGATAAAGAAGAAGGGGACATCGCAACGAAGAAACATGAAATCGAGAGGCTCAGCGACGGCGAGGAGTTCGAGGAGCCCCAGTCGAAGAAGTGACATCTCCGCTAATCATGTTCCTCACCTTCGGCGTTAGTCTCAGCCTTGGGCCCTCGACCTCGAGGCACATTATCATCCCCTCGGCCTAAGAGCCCTCGGCCTTGAGCGGTGAATCTTAACAAAGCCGTTGTCAAACAACGCACCCCTTGTATTCCGCTTATTTATATGAATTTAAGTAAACTACAACACAATACAGACATCTTATCAGCCCCTTCGAGGCCAAATGCCCAGGTATGGCCGATGGTGTCTAAAGACGAGAGGCGTGCAAAAGGCCCGCGTTTTTGGAGCGGGACGCTCGCCGCGTCGCCGGCGCGCAACGCACGGCGACAGGCCTGAAAGAATGGCTGAGGTGACGAAATCCCCAAACTTGGGGGTGAAACGGCAATCGTCGGAAACCGACCAAGCCTAGCCCGCGCCGTAAATAGACGACGGGACCCCCCAAGGTCAAGGGACGGTTCAGCACCGGGGGACTAACAGACGAACCCCCAGACGGATCACTTGGACCCCCTTCCGGCCGAGGCGGGGAAGCAACCCCCTCGGTCGAAGCCTGAAAGAAGGAACACACATCGGGAGGACTAACATACGACCTCCTGGCACAATCAAGGGACGGCCCAGCGCCGGGGGACTAACAGACGAACCCCCGGACGGATCACTTGGACCCCCTTCCGGCCGAGGAAGCAACCCCCTCGACCAAAGCCTGAAAGAAGGAACACACATCGGGAGGACTAACATACGACCTCCTGGCACAATCAATGGACGGCCCAACACCGGGGGACTAACAGACGAACCCCCAGACGGATCACTTGGACCCCCTTTCGGCCAAGGCGGGGAATCAACCCCCTCGGTCGAAGCCTGAAAGAAGGAACATACACCCGGAGGACTCCCGGAACTATCAAGGAAAGGCCCTCGGCCTCAATTTGATTCTACATCACCAATGGCCCTCGGCCTTGGCATGATTCCACGTCACCAACGGCCCTCGGCCTCAACATCAGAACGGCCCTCTTCCTCAACATCAACAACGGCCCTCGACCTCAGCATCAGAACGGCCCTCGGTCTCAACATCAACAACGGCCCTCGGCCTCAGCGTGAGGACATCATAATGGCCCTCGGCCTCAACATCAGACGGCCCTCGGCCTCAACATTACTCTATGTCATAACGGTTTTTGCCTTACATGATTTCACATCACCAAAGGCCCTCGTCCTCAACGTGATTCTACATCAACAACGGCTCTCGGCTTCAGCGTGATTCCACATCACAACGGCCCTCGGCCTCAACATCAGAACGACCCTCGACCTCAACATCACAACAGCCCTCGGCCTCAGTGTGATTCCACATCACAGCAACCATCGGCCTTCATCCCTCCGGCATCTTTATTTGATGTCGGGGGCCATCATACAGGCCATCGACCTTAAGCCTTCTGGCATCTTTATTTTGATGTCGGGGGCCATCACACAGGCCATCGGCCTTCATCCATTCGACATCTTTATTTGATGCCGAGGGCTATCATACAGGCCCATCGGCCTTCATCCCTCCGGCATTTTATTTGATGTCAGGGGCTATCATACAGGCCCATCGGCCTTCATCCCTCCGGCATCTTTATTTGATGTCGAGGGCCATCACACAGGCCATCGGCCTTCATCCCTTCGACATCTTTATTTGATGCCGAGGGCTATCATACAGGCCCATCGGCCTTCATCCCTCCGGCATCTTTATTTGATGTCGGGGGAATCACACAGGTCCCTCGGCCTTCATCCCTCCAGCATCTTTATTTGATGCCAGAGGCTATCATACAGGCCCATCGGCCTTCATCCCTCCGACATCTTTATTTGATGTCGAGGGCCATCACACATGCCATCGGCCTTCAGCCCTCCGGCATCTTTATTTGATGCCGGGAGCTATCATACAGGCCCCTCGGCCTTCATTTCTCCGATATCTTTATTTGATGTCGGGGGCCATCACGAAGACCCCTCGGTCTCCATCCCTCTGGCATCTGTATTTGATGCTAGGGGCTCTCACACAAACCCACCTGGCCTTGCACCCCTCCGTCACCTTTATTTGATAACGGGGGGGGGGGGGGGGGTCCTTACAAGCTCCTTAGCTTTTTCATGCAGGGATCTAAGGCTGATCTTGGATATCTCCTCAGCAGACGGACACAACCGCCGCTCAACAATCAAGGCCGAAGGCTGCACTCCTTTTGCTTCATTCTGAGGGCATCCGGTGTACTCTTTTTCCCTCATTAGGATTTTTTCCCA